GCTTCCTCTTTGCACTGTAGAGTTTCAGCTGGCAACGGCGGATGGCACGGTGGATTGTGTTCACTGACAATGCTTTCTGGAAGTATTCCTGAGCCCGTTCTGTTATTTCCTTGACAGTGGCATTCCTGTTTGAGGTGCAGTGATGTTTAAGGGCCCGGAGATCATGAGCATCCAGTAGACTTTCACGGCTTTGACCCTTACGCACAGCGATTGTTCCAGATTCTCTGAATCTTTTGCTGATATTATGCACGGTTGATGATGATAACTTAAAAGTATTTGCTATTTTATGCTGGGTAACACCATTCAGGTATTGCTGCACTATCTTTCTGCACAGCAATGGTGGAATTGGTGATCTTCTTACCATCTTAGCTTCTGAGAGACACTGACACTCTGGGTATAAAAAGAGATTCTCAATCATGTGGTCACTTGACCTAATTAGTGTTAATTGGTCTTCCAGTTGTTTGTTATATGCTCAGTTTCCTTTTTCCAGCCACTTATTGCTTCTTGACCCAACTTTTTTGGGATTTGTTGACACTGTGAAATTTTGAATCAACATATTTTTCCTTTAAAATGTTACATTTACTCAGATTAAACTTTTGAGCTGTCATCTATGTTATATTACGAATAAAATATTGACATTTTCCATCTCCACATCATTGCATTCAGTTTTGATTCACAATTTGTTTAGTGTCCCAACTTTCTTTGAATCCGGTTTGTAAAAAACTATCTTTGCAACATTGCTGAAGTATGTTTTACAAAACCTCTGTTGGTTTTCTCTAAACTGAAGCAGCTGTATGAACATGAATCTAGAGTGCTCAGTTTGTGAAGCTTCATGTTGTCCCAGCAGAGTTTGATTTGACCACCTCCTCATGGGGGAGTTAGAGACAGACAGACAGACAGTTTAAGTACTCTGGTCTCACCCTCGGTATCGAACCCCGGGGTACTCTTTGAGCGTTGCACACAGCGTGGCTATCTGTTCCGCACATCGCTCCAACATGTTGCTCTTCACATCAGCCTTGAAGGGGCTGTAGAAGTCCTGGAAGGCCTCGACCTTATCCAGGGAGAAGACCTGAGCACAGAAGAACATTCTTAACATTTAGGGGGCCGGTACTACACAAAAACAAACAATCATGACAGATCTAATCTGCCTGAATACCAAAATGTTTAACAAAAACAGATTAAATCAGATGATCTGTTGAAACTTCCTTGTGTGTAGACCAAAGGCCTAGCATTGTTTGAAGGAATGCTTGTTGCCTTTCTCAAAGTTTCAGGGTGACACTGTGGAGTTGCTTTACTGATTTACCAAGCTTTATCCAAATGTGTTTAGGTGAGTATTAGAGTTAGAATTATTAGGGACTGCCTGAATGCAGCCCTCTATTATTATCCACCTGGAAAGGGTCCTATTATTATCCACCTGGAAAGGGTCTTACTATTCAACCAACTTTAATGCGACCTGAACCGGAATGTTTAATGCCACAAATGTTCAATCAAAATGACCGGCTCGGCACCGTGCTTTGAGATATTGAGCTGAAATTTGGTATGGTCATAGCTGAAAGCGAGTTGTTATACATTCCTAAATCAAAAAAAAAAAAAAATCAAATATGGCCACCTTAGCTTAAAAGAAAAAAAAGATAACACAACTATTTTAAAAGATATTGAGCTTAATCCAAAAACGTTCTGGACATTCAAAAAAAAACAAAAACAAAACAAAGCAAAAAAATGTAGAAACGTTTCGTCTCTCATCCGAGAGACTTCCTCAGTCTGAGGTGCTGTATTCAGCTCAGTCTCTTAAATAGCACCTTCTCAGAGTGGATCAACCAGTTTGCTGCTGACAACCCAAACCAGCTGCTCACATGGTCAAGAAGGACCATCAGCCTAACAATGGATCATTAGCACACTGATGGCTGTTTACTATTCACAGGGGGTTGAGTGATACTAGCAATAACAGCATTGTAAGAGGGGGACAGTTGAACCCGGAGGCCTCCACCCCTGTTTAATGATGGACGATTTCACAAAAATGGCCTCCTTTACTCCTCTCTCAAACCATCGTTTCTCTCTGTCCAGGATGTGAACATCTTCATCCCAGAAAGGGTGACCGCTGGCCTGGAGATGAGTGTAGACTGCAGAATCCTGGCCTGATGATGTTGATCTTCTGTGCTGGGCCATCCTTTTGGCCAGTGGCTGTTT